TCACGCCCGAGACAGGGGAGCCGCGAAGGGGGCGGCGGAAGCGCTCACGCCGCCCGCTCCTTCCGCCGCCGCCGCTGCCCGAACCGGGGGCGCCCGCGAGAGAAGGAGGCGAAGTAGTCCCTCGCGACTTCTCGCGGCCGCCGCCGCCCCCGAGGTCGGAGCGGGCGTGGGGTGGGGCTGCCGAGCGGGGTCGCCGGGCTGTGAAGTGTGTGAGGAGGACTCAAAGCTGCGGCCCCGGGCGAATCACTGCAACTCGAAGTCGTGTGCAGCATAGCAAGTTTCAGGAAAGTAGTTCCCTCCTCCCTTCATTTCCCAAATCGTTGTGGAGCCACTTGAGCAAGGAGAGGAGGGGGAGGCGGAGGGATATCCAGCCTGTACCGCGCTCGTTGTGCGTGCGCGCGCTCCAAACTCTTGGCACGCTGCGAAAGGGGGCGGGGGTGGGTGCTGCGAGGGGAGCTGCTTGGGAGGTTGCATTGTTGTGGCGCGCTACTCCCGGTTACTCGGCGTGGAATATCCGGGCTGCTTGAACAAAGTGGCCCGAAGGACAGTGCTCAGAGAGGAAAGCTAGAGGCTACTCCGTTCTGCCCTGTGTGTGTGTGCGTGTGTGTGTGCGTGTGTGTGTGTGCGCGTGTGTGTGCGCGCGCGTGTGTGTGCGTGTGTGTGTGTGTGTGCGCGCGCGCGCGCGTGTGTTTTCCTTGCAGAGCAAAGAATGGAACTGGCATGAGTTCATCTTTAGTTAGTGGAGGGTTAGAGGCAGGGACTGTGCAAAGAGAGCTCCGCCTGCTGTCCCTCTGGTTGCATTGCTGCAGTCCCCTAGCTGCATGCACAACGGGGGAAAGAGAGAGAGACAGAGACAGAGTGTGTGTGTGTTTTAATGCCTCGCTGCCTGGATTCTTACTGCGCAAGGGGTATACTGTGCAGGGCATTCATCTCCAAAAGCTGTAATGATTGTTAATGGAGAACGCCTTCCATTGAAGCCCAGGGTAGGCGTGTTACATGAATCTGGCGCAGCCAGAAGCAAAGGAAATAACTCCCGCTGTGAGTGGGGTTGCATAACTATAGCGCAGGAGATGCATTTGTGCACGAACTGCTCCGAATGGAGGCGGACCGATTAGTGGATTGACATCTGTCACGTTTGCACTGTTAGAGGACAGTGTATACATTCATCTCAAATGGTTTTTGCACAGAAACCTGCTGAGATTTCGGGCTGGAGCCTAGCATCTGCCCAACCAGAGGACTCTTTACTCTGGTTCTGTAAATTCTATTACCTTTTCTCTACCTAGAAAGCCCCCAGCCTATACATGATCCGGCCTGGGGAACTGAATCTCAAGCCCTCCCAAGTACCTGACGCATCTCCTCAGGCATCATCCTAGCACTGCGCGCAATGCTTTTCCCTTCGTTCTCAGGTTTGTGCGACCTGAGAATGAAGATTGCTGCTCGTGCCACATGGAGAACAATTCCTGAGAAAGAAGAAAGTGGGAGAACCTCACACCAAGCCAAGCATTCATTTTCTGCCATGTCTCTAGGGAGCTTCAGGATTGCTGTTGTGGGGATGTGTGTACACTAACTTGTTAACAGTGGTTTGCACACTGTAGGTGCTTATTAAATGTTTGACGGAGAAACCGAGGAGCTAAACCAGTTAGTGTGCCCAAAAACCATCCCGCTGATTTCTGAGGTTTCTTTATGTAACTTGCTTCCTGCCTCGGAACAGCATCGTCCTTACTTAGAGCAAGGAAGAGGCAATTAACGTTAGTGATGGGAAACAGTGAGAGGTCTGTGAAAGACATGACCTCTAAACCTGTGTTTTTGAACTTGTTCATGCGGAGAAGCTATTAAGTGTTGGTACTAGCCTCTTATTCCAGTACTTCTACTTTGGTTGCTCACATTTGAGTCAAATTCTATCAGCTATAACCACTTTGGCTGTTCATGTTTGAGTCAAATCCTATCAACTATAATCTGTGTTCTTAGGCAACTTATTGAAACTCTGTGCCTACATAAAATGGGCATAATAGTGCCTACAGAGCTGCTGTACTGATTAAGGAGGACAGATTAAGAATTCTCAGTACCGGGCATGGTAGCTCAGGCCTGTAATTCCAACACTTTGGGAGGCAGAGGTGAGAGGATTCCGGGGGTTCAAGACCAGCCTGGGCAACTTGGCAAGCCCTCATCTCTACAATAAATCAGAAAAACTAACTGGGTGTGGTGGCGCACACCTGTAGTTCCAGCTACTTGGAAGGCTGAGGCAGAAGGATCACCTGAACCTAGCAGATCGAGGCTGTGGTGGCCATGAGTGTGCCACTGCACCCCAGCCTGGGCCACAGAGTGAGACTCAGACTCAAAAAAAAAAAAAAGAAAAGAAAAAGAATTCACAGTAAGAACTCAATAATTCCTACCTCTTACTATTATTTTGTAAAACCGAGATAATAAACTCCATGACAAAGTTATTGCAGTGTCTTTGAAGGTTAAATGCGAAGCATTCAGTATTCTTGTTCATGCGTTCAACAAATAACTCTTGGTTATCTTCTCCATACTACCCATGCTAGACACATGGCCTTGTTCTTTTTTTTTTTTTTTTTTTGGTTGGCATCTCACTCTGTCGCTCAGACTGGAGTGCAGTGGCCGCAGTGGCCGCTCCTGGCCAACCACAGCCTCGCCTGCTGGGCTCTGGAGATCCTTCCGCCTCAGTCTTCCGAGTAGCTGGAACTACAGGCGCACGGTACCATGCCCTGCTGATTTTTTGATTTACTGTAGAGATGAGGTCTCGCCAAGTTGCCCAGGCAGGTCTCAAACCTGCGAGCTCAGGCAATCCACTCACCTCAGCCTCCCAAGGCGCGGATTACAGGCTGAGCCACCGAGCCCGGCGACCTTGTTCTTAATAAGCCATCAGTAAGTGGTAACCATCACAGTTACTATGATCACATAAGTACACAGAAAGTTGGTCACTTGCAGAGGTCTCTATCTCTTTTGAAGATGTGCTTCTGTTTCAGGTTCTATTCTATCAGAAAAATTGTCAGTACAAGCTTTGGAAGAAGACACGAAAACCATCTTGATTGTCATGGGTCAGGCATTGTGCTGGCCACTTTCACACAATGCTTACCTAAAGAGGCAAGCTGTGGTAAACAGCCCAAATTAATGCTTTCAGATTGTTCCTAACCTCACAATCAAGACATAGTCAACAAACTGATCACTGCCACGGTGGTGTCCTGCCACCATGCACTTGTATGCCCTTTTAAAAGCAGTGTATTTGTCATTCTCACCTCTTACCCAGTTGTTGAAGATCTTACCAACTTTTTTTTAAAATAAATTTTTTCTTTAGTCAAGGGCTGACTTCGAAGGCTGAAGTGCAGTGGCATGAGCATAGCTCACTGCAGCCTTGACTTGCTGGGCTCAAAGGATCCCCCTACCTCAACCTTCTGAGTAGCTAGGACTATAGGCACGCACCACCACACCTGGCTGATCTTTTTATTTATTTATTTATTTATCTATCTATTCATTTATTTGTTTATATTTTGAAGTTGTGGGGTAAAATTCAGGGTTGGCTATGCAAATAGTTATTGTATAGATAAAGTTTGGGCCTCACTTTGGTCCCCACTTCAACTGGTTTGAGATCAGGTACCCTTAATGGTGAAGTGCGCTCCCCTCCCTGGCAGTTTCCCACTACTGCCAATCCCTTTCTTATAGTATTGATAATTGTTCAGGGTCCATCCACTTATGAGTGAGAACATGTGGTACTCAGTTATTTGTTTCTGTGATAGATCACTCAGTATTATAAACACTAAGTCCATCCTAGCTGCTGTGAAGTTTATAATTTTCTCCTTCTTTATGACTGCATAACATTCCATTGTGTATATGTACCATATTTTTTTAAATCCAGTTCTCTTTCGGCAGCACAGTTGGTTTTATGTTTTTGCTATTGTGAATAATGCTGTAATAAACATACATGTGCTTTTTCATAGAGTAATTTGAGTTCCTCCAGGTATATTCCAAGAAGGGGGATTGAGGGGTCATATGGAAGGTTGATTTTTAGAACTTTTAGGAATTGCCAAACTGTTTTCCACAGAGGGTGTACTAGTTTACTCTCCCACCAACAGTGTAGAAATGTTCCCTTTTCCCCACATCCTCTCCAGCATCTGTTGCTTTTTGAATTATTGATGATAGACAGCCTGACTGGAGTTTGGTGGTATCTCAGTGTGGTTTTAATTTACATTTCTTTGATGATTAATGAGGTTGAGCATTTTTTCATGTATCTGTTGACTGCTTGTATGTCTTCTTTTGAGAAATGTCTATTCATATCTTTTGCCCACTTTGTAATAGGGCTGTTTGTTTTTTTCTTTTTGGCACATTTGAGTTCCTTGTAGATCTTGCTGTGTTTCCCAGGCTGGTCTCAAACTCCTGGGCTCAAGTGATCCTTCTGCCTCTGCCTCCCAAAGTGCTGGGATTACAGGCATAAGCCACCACATCTGGCCAGATCTTACCAACATTTTAAAAAATTGCCTTGATGTAAGCAGAGCTTGAGTCTTCTACTCTGAAACAGAAATTGTATGACAATGAGGCTCAGAGCCCGGGGTCTTCTAGTCTGACTGTCAGTCAACAGCTACCCTAAACCCAAGAGAGGCTTCAACTGATCTATCTTGATCTCTAGACCTTAAGAGATACAAGAGACATAGCAACCAAAGGCAATGTGTAAGACATTATTTGGATTCTGATTTGAACAAATATTTTAAAATTTGGGGAAACTGGAGAAATTTGAACACTAACTGGAGCATTTATGAGAACAGGATTTTTTTTTTAAATAT